CGAAGCTGCCTGCGTGCCGAAATCCTTACCGGAGGTGTAATTGCAGAGGTGACGTACCGACGGGCCCGCCGGCGCTCCGAACTGCAACTCATCCCTTCCTCCTTCTGCTGCAGGTATGGGCCATTCTCCGCCGGAGTCCCACCCGGCCGCTGCGCACCCGAGGACCAAGCGATGCTCCTGCAATAGCTGGCTGGATAAGGAATGCATTTACTTCTGTCACCTGGATATCATCTGGGTCAACACACCTGGGTGAGCAGGAACGCAGCTTTCTGGGGGGCGGTGGCTCTGGCGATCAGTAAGGAAGAACAGTTCCTTTCTGATAAAGGATGGGGTTAGGTTAGAGGAAGGTGAGAAGGGGTTCCAGTGCTGTGGGGCTGTTGTAGCACCTGCTCTGGAGAGCACTGCAAGTCCATCCCTTTCCAACACCTGGAAAGGGACAAGCTGTGCTTCTGCTGAGGAGTTTCGATATAACCCACAGAGGAGCGGGCTGAAAGCACAGAGCGCTGCTTCCTCGTGGGCTCATCTTTTCCTGAGTCTTGTACCTCCACAAGCCAAAAGCAACACCAAGATGTTGTAGCTGCAAGTTGGAAAGTTACTCTACCCGCTTGCGAACTGTAACCCTGACTGCCAGTATTGTTAATGAGACAGTGGTGGGCTGGCACTGAAGTCCTGTGGCTGCCAAGTCCTGCCCTCAAGAATGCTAAAGCAGCTTTCCGAGCAGTTTCAGACCAATGGCCATCACACTCGAGCAAAACACATGCACTCAGGTGTGGTTATAATCATGCTTGCTAACGTGCAATTACAACTCGCTGCTTGCTCAGAGAATAGTTGCAGTCACTGCCAATCCTAAACCCTCTGGGAGAGTAGATTGTGATCAAAGATGGAGCGGGAATGAGCTAACAGCTCTGAAAGCTGTGATCAGAAGAACCTGTTATGGCCCCAAGACATCTTGATTTGTACTATGTCCTGTGTGTTAAAACCCAGGGGAGGGAAGGTGGGGAGGGAAAGCCTTGACATCTCTGTGCTTGAGAAACCGGCAGCTTGCTGTGGTGGGGCTGGTGGACTGGGGCAGCCGCGCTCCTCGTACCATTTGCCACCCCGGGTGAACCGCCAGCTTGCCCAGCCCGTGTGGCGACCCTTGCACGGGCGCCTGGGCTGCTGCAAGGAGAGAACATTCCACTTGCAACCCAGCACATACTGGCACGGCAATCTCCCTGGGAGGGGTAGGGTGGGGAAAACAGTAGGTGGGAGAGGAGCTGGAGTTTAAAGGCTTAGACGTATCAGTGACCTTTTCACCTTATGTCTATAGATGAATCTTTTATTATGCTGGCACTGGCTTGGCTGCCTCCCAGGACTGTGTTATAAACCTGTTGGCTAATAAAAAGTTAGTTGCATAGCTGATTTCTTTTGTTTTTAACAGACACACCGCTCCCTATGGCTTGGGAAGCCCGCCAAGGCGGCGCAAGAGGTCGCTCGGCAGGTGCGAGTGCTCGCGCTCGAGGGACAGCATCTGTGCCACCTTCTGCCAGGCGAAGCCTGGGTAAGCCAAGGGGTCCTGGGGATGTCCCTGGGGGCTGCTTGGTGGACAGACAAAGCTTAGGAGCTGGAGTAACTCCACAGCCTCCCCGGGGATGGCTGCGCAGCTCTTTGCAAACAGCTGGAACTTGTCTAGTGGCTTTCATACCCCTCCCAAGAGGCCCTGGCAAAGTGTCACTAGGGTGGTTTTGTTGTACAATAGTCTCTTTACTAGCTGATATGAAGCAATGTTTCCTCCATCCCTCCTGCTTGCCAGGAGGCTGAGGAAGCGCTGGGTGCGCTGGTGGGAAGGGAGGAGCTGGCAGCATGCTGGGAGAGGGGTGAGCAGAGGGTGTGAAGCTTTGGGACAGCAGCAGCTCCCGCACAGCTCAAGTGGGAGAGTCTCAGGAGAGTAGGACTGCTGTGAGCTGGGACTCAGAAGTCAAATACCTTCTGTAGCCAGCTCTTTTTATAGTGCATGTGGGCTCTCGGTTGTCTCACTTCAGCCAGTGGCATAGAGGAGCACTTACACTGCAGGGAGGTGGGGAGCAAAGTCATTGTAGAAATCCTGTCATTAATTTCATAGCAAGGCAATAGTTAAGGTCCCCAATCATTAGATATGACTGTGAATAGAGTGAGGTCTGACAGAAGAGGATAGCAGTAATAAGTGAGCTATGAATAGCTCTCAAATAGCTGCAATTAACCCTTCAAAAACATGCATTCAACTGTCTTAGTCTGTCACTGGTGACGTTAGAGCAACACTCCCCCTGCTACTTACCACAGCACAGCTGGATGTGAGTGATTCATGCATCTCCTCTTGCTCATTAGGTACCTCCAGAGCCTGAAGCTCCCAGTGAGCTCTGGAGCATCAATGAAGTCTCCACAGAGTGGTGTCGTGAGGCCTTCCCATCGTGGCCTGCTGAGAGCTCTCAGGTGAGCATGCCACTTAAACCCACTCTGAACATCCTTCATAAGCACTTCAAAATCTGCAGCTGTGACCCCAGACTGCAGTTACCACTTGGATTTGACCTGACTTCCCCCTCTTGCCTCCCTTTAAATGAGTAGACTTGACTATTTCTGCTCTCTGTAGAGTTGAAGGCTCACAGCTGAGGGCACCAGGGTTGCTTGTGTCCTTCCAAAATTAGAGGAATATTACATAAAATGTGATTCTTGATTGGAGCAGGAAGTTCCTCTGATAGGGGACAGGCAAATGGGTGATGTACAAGGAGAGGAGGGATGGCATCATGTAGGAAAATGATTGATGGGGCAGCAGCTTTGTACCAAAGGAAAGAGCTTTTCTCACATGACATCAGTGAGTTGTGGAACTCACGGCTGGAAGAAACCGTGGACTCCAGAGTGTAAATGAGTTAAAGGGAGTTGGCAAATTGAAGGAGGGTTGGTCTATTGGTGGTAGTTAAATCAGATGCAATGGAAACACTTTCTGAAAGGCAGATCTGGGGAAGCATTGCTGGGGTCATGCCCTGCTGCAGGACTCCTTGAATCCTCTGCCACTGGCCACTGGTAGAAAGGGGATACTGGGCTAGATGGATCTTTGCTGTGGCTTAGTACAGCTGCAAGTAGAAATTCCCCCTTTTCCTTCCTCATCTTCTGCCTCAAAATAAATCTTGGCAGGGTGTAGAAAAATACCATAATGGGGGCTGTTGCTGAGTAGTAGGAAAATGGACTGGAGAATTAACATCGTGTCTCTTCTGTTTACAGGGATCTTGCTGTTTCCAGTCTGTGGTTCGGCAAGCATCAGCACCGTTCTCGGAGGAACGCACAGCCAACAGTTTTGCCTTGGAAGAAAAACATCTGGAAGAAGAAGAGATAAGAAGCAGGTGCATACCAAGTTCACCAGAAGAATTTGGAGTCCTGTGGGTGCCACTAACTCCGCTGTCGGTAGTTAGAGCTGAAGGAAAGGCCATGAGTGGAAGGGGGAAGAAGTGGAAGTCTCCATGCTCCTGTTGCGTGAACCAGTACTGCATGCGCTCCAGAGACTGTTGTAAAGGGAAACCTGTCTCTCTATACAGTCATAGATGTGTCGTGGAGCTGAATTGTGCCTTTTTGGATCAGGCAAGGGTCTTGCTGGAGGAGTACTAGCTTAACTGTGCACAGGAGTCCTAGGCAGAGGGTCAGCCTGCGCTGGGCGGTTGAATCGCGTACAAACCAGACGGCTCTGTGCAGTTCTGGACCTGGCAGCACTGAGCCCGTACCACTGGCCCGCTCCGCTCTGCCTCTGAGCCATGTTTGAGCATGGTTCCGGCTTGGCCCCATTCAGAGGTGGTTTGGCTGGTCATTGTAGACGGGGATAAACTGCCTCCAGCGTGAGCCCACCTTTGCACTTTTTTCTCTTACTTGTCAGACAGCGTGCTGTGCGTATGAATGAGACTCCAACAGTAAAACAGCTCCCAGCTTTTACTAAAAAAGTACATATCATCTAGAAGCCTGAAAGCCAACTGAGTAGTCAGTGGCATTCTTTGGCTGAGAAACTCACTGAAGGGCCATCCTTAAGTGGCTCTTGTTAGGTGGAGGATAGCTTGCTTACACTGGAGCTTGCACCAAAACCAAGGTGACCCCTGCGTCGGGCTCAGCAGCGGCGGGGGGGGGGGGGGGCGTGCAGGAGCCCCGTGCACGCAGCCCCGCGGAGCCGGGGAGGGGGGAGCCCCGTGGGGTGCGAGGCAGAGCCGAGCTGCTAGTCTGGATGAGTTCAGTGCTGTGAATCTGTCTCATCTCCTTGGAGGTACCCGTAGTGGGGTAACGTACTTCCAGCTCTTAACCTAATATCCCAGCTTTCTTTCGGCTCTGCCTGAAAGGAGAGGCTAGGGGCAGGGAAGATGGGTGGTGGGAAAATAGCACACAAAGGCTTGCTTGCTGCTTCGCTTAGATCAGGTCTGTGAGTCAGACTCTATATAATAAATGACCAGTATATGGATAGCATGTCACTCTGAGTACCCTGAACAGAGAATGCATTAGGCAGCCAGGTGGGATTGATAAGGAGGAAAGGACTGGTAAGAAGAGAGCACAGCACTGTCTGCACAGCTTAAGAAAGGCTCAGATTTAAACCTGTGCCAGAATCATGGCTGCTTCCCCAGCTATAGAGCAGCACGGTGCTGCTGGCCCAGAGGAGGGAAGGAATAATTAGGAAAAAACACTGACCCAGGACCTAGAAACCAATCCTGCAGGCAAACACAGCCTGAAGGCTCAGGAGCTGTATCACAAGTGCACTTTTGTTTGCCTGGGCAGATTAACTTCTATTATAAGTCGTGTCTGCAGCTGTCATCTGGTTAGTGCAGATAAATAATTGCTCTCCTGGAACCACTGTTGGGTCCCCCTTGCTGCCCTACCCAGTATTACACATGAGCATTTGGAAAGGCTGCTTGAAGTCGGTGGTGGACCAAAATCTGTGGCTGTTGCAAGTGTAGTCCCATTTGACATACAAAAGGCTTCCTTGATTTTGCTTTAAGCCCTAGAGGCGGGGAAAAATGAGACCAACTGATTGTATTGTAAATGCAGCAGCGGTCCTCAAAGGTTTGAGAGAATTTTTTTAGATTTGACCTTCTGAAGGTTTGAGTCATTCTAAAAAAGAAAAAAAAAAAATCCTAAAAGGGTTTGTTCCAGAGGAAACTTTGCACATGGTTTAATGTGAGCCTAGTAATTTAAAATAAAACTACTGCTGTAAAGTACTATGTATATCTCCTTGTGTGTATAATGTCTCATCTTCCAGTGACTAATTGCACACATGCCATATGTAGCATCCTGAAATCTGTATATTTATTTAAATCTATTGATTTTTTTAGACAGTAATTTTCAAAATGTAATTTGTAATAAATAATGACAAAAGTCAATACCTTTTTTCTTCCTTATTTGATGGCTGGGTGGTAGTGGATGGAGTGAAAGAAATACAGTGCTTTTGGCCATCTGGGAAAGTGAGTGGGACAGCAGAGCTGGGTGAGAAAGGGAAGGCTGTGTGGTCTTGTGAATAGTCCTGAGCAGATTTCAGTTCAAAGTGAATCCATCTAGCTGACTTAAACATTCCTTAACTTAAAATAAATACCTTCTTTCTAGGTGTCGATGGGAACATAGAAGTGAAATTATCCCCAACTTGTTCCACTTAGGGCTGTGGATGCTGAGGCCAGCTTGAACCCTTGTGCCAAGGGATCCTGTTAATGTTTTCCCATGGTTGAGTCCTTTGCCTCAAATCCTCTTCGCAGCCTTGTGAGTGTCAACATCACAGGGACAGAGCAACCACGCACCCTCTCCTGTACCCACCAACTTCTAGATCTGAGTTTCTGAGCTTTGCTGATCTGTTTTTAATTTTTTTTTTTGTACACTTAAAAAGCCCTCATCCATTTGATGGGCATCTTTGAAGACCAAATCATAGATTATTCTGGTGTTGCAAACTCAGTGAATCTCGTGGCACAGCTGTGAGAAGGGGATGAAAAAGTAACGTTAATGTAATAGCTAGTGCTGTGCTTGCTGCATACGCAGGAACCATGGCACTTCTTCGTGGGTTTCTGGCTTCCTGGAACAGTAGTTGAGCGCGCTACATTCCCGTCCTTTCCTACTGCCCAGCTTTCTTGGCTGAACTGCAACTCGTATGGCCAAGCCTCCACCCTGTGACTTGGTGTTAGATTCCTTCAGATGTTTCTACGACAGTAAGTCATAGTTTCTATGACTAATGATAAAGGTCCATGATAAAAAGAACCTTGAATTACAGGTAAAAGGGAAAAAAAAAAGGTATCCTGAAACACTGCAGATTTCCTACGTATAATATCTGAAGTGCAATTCTCCCCTCTTCTGCTCAGCCTTGTTCCGGAACAGGCCTGAAAATTTTGTCTGTTTGGGGTAATTTCCACGGTGTCCTGCTTGGACTGATTTCAGGTGGTGTGAATGAGGAAGCTGAGAGTTGTTGGAAATTTCATACATTTCACAGGAAAGATTTCCCCATCATCTGGAATGTCTTTTGAGCCAGCCTTGGCCCCAGCCTTTTATTTACCCTTCTGAAGTCACAGAAGAGCTATGACCTTAGTCAGCCCTTGGTCTCGGAGAACAAAGCATCCCTGCTTGGGCAGCTCGAGGCCCAGCCAAATGTGAGGGTAGTAGCACAAGGGGAGCATCACCTTTGCTGGAGGTGGGACCATAAGCTCTCCAGCTCTGCTACAGTATGTGGACTTGAAGCAAGACATCCAAACAGGGAGAGAGAAAATTTAAACTGATCCATTTGTAGGATTTTTTCTGGCCCTAAGATCCATGAACAGAGGAAAATTTGACATAGGGCTGAATGATGGAAAATCTTCCAGGGCAGGCTATCCACATTCACTTGTGGAAACTTTGGAGTCACCAGTGAGTACTACAGAAGGAAACACTGGAAGTCAACATATCTGGAAAACCAGTTTAAAAATACCACAGGCCAAATATCCAGAAAAGTCCCCCAAGGCCCCCACGAAACCTCAGAAGACCTCCTTGCTGGGATCTTACATAAAGACCCTCAGGTGTCCCACCAAGTACTGAGGAACAACCTGAGCCTGGCAGTAACCCCATGGTGTTGCCTGGAACAATGCCAATGTCTGTGCAAAGCCCAGCCCTTTGGGTACAGTTTTAATTACTAGAGCTAATTAGGTATCACTCAAGGGAAGAAGAGAAGGGAGATGCTTAAGAGCATCTTAATTAGGATGAAAAGGGAGAAGAGAGGACTGTGCTTATTCTGAGGTTATTGAATTCAGTGATAAAGATTAGCTGAAGTAGGTTGAAGGAGGCATATTTTATAAATTCTCACAGGTAACAGGAAAGAACAGAATAACAAAACTTCATTTAAGAGGAAAATCCAGGGAGGCAGGCAACTTCCAAAGCCAATTCTAAGGATAAGTGATAGGGTATTTTCCTAAGATACAGCTTTTTGATTGAGCAGTCCTTTTTATGATTGACAATTCCCGTAAAAGCGAACCTTTTGTGCCCTGCATGTGACTCTGGAATTTTTTCTGTAGCAGGAGTTTCTGAAGAAAAGTCCTTTCTAGATGGCCCACAGACAGCTACAACTTGCCTTCTGCACCATGGGACAGTTCTGTCCTCATCAGGTTAGGCAATAGTTTTTTTTGATGGGACTTTGTTCACGTTTCATATTTGTTGAACTGATAGGTTCTGCTCAGGAGAAGACGTGTTGACATAAAGATAGAAGCATGCTTTCAGTGAGGGGTATTTGGGTGAACGCCTTTTCAAGGCCAGCCCTTTGGTGCTTCAATGGAAAGAAGCAGCTGTCCGTGGCAGATACCTGCTTTGCTAGCAGATTTTCCTGCCTGGCATTTTATAGTTTTGCACTCTTTTGGTCTGGATCACCCTGCAGAAGATCTGGGCCTTATTAAATAAAATCTAGGGTGCAACAGGAGGGGAAGGGACACTGAATAATGGGTGCAGGGTCATGTTTTGCCCTGGGTCAGCAGCTGCTCCCTGTGCCTTTGATTTTGACACCTCTGGCCTGAGCTACAAGGTCAGTGGCTGTGTGGAGGTTGAATATGGCCCACCAGTATAGACCCCCCAGACAGTACTTGTGGCCTCTCCAGCAGCTGCGTCTCTATCTATAGGATTCAATCTATACAGAAATCTTTCACTCCTGCATCTGACTAAAGCCGAAGCTACAAGGCACTGAGGGAGATATTCTGCAAAAGGTCTTCTCTCTGGGAAATACCTCCTGTGGTATTACAGTTCTGGTGTAATGCCAAGCTTAGAATAATGTAGTTCAATGGAATGGAAGCTTCTCAGTGTCCTCCACCACCGAGAGGTTCTCCAATCACCTTGGCCATGGCCAGGGTGCAGCCCTGTTGTTTGGCTTGCACCCTTCAGACTATGGCACTATATGGCACATGCCAATGGGTAGTTCTAGCCAAAGAAATAGAGGGATTGATTAAACTTCTGTGTTTAAAGTTGCTAAATCTTGTTTCTAGCTCCAGTACCCTTGGGTATGAAGATTATTGACTTGACTGGTTTTCTTGACCTGGCTGGAGTGAAGAACAAGTGGATCTACAGTGGATGTCAGCTCCATAATTCACATCTTCTGGCACAGGCTGGTGAGCTCTCTGTGGTCAGTGGCATCCCACATCTTCGCATCTCCTAGCTGTGCGGCAAGGAAAGCCATGGGCTCTTTGGATGTCATGCCTGGGTCTAGGCATCATGGTAACAAACCACCTCCTGCCTTATCTGATCTAGGCAACAGTGAAGTATAAAACACTGAAATCCCTCCC